ATAACATTCTGAAACATACTGGATTCATTCTTACTCTGAAATCCTTTGAAGCCTTACAAAATAGTAAAAAGAGTAAACAACTTCACTTTGGCAATCAGAGCTGTGTGATTTTAGGCAGAAGAGCCTTTTAAACCTGCGATTCTTGGTCTGCTATTGTTGTTGTTATATGCTGTCGAGTCGGACCCGATTCATAGCGACCCCTCCTTGGGTTTCTGAGGCAGTATCACTTCTTGGTCTGCTAGGAGGAGTAAACATAGTGCCTGGCACATGGCACTCTATACAAGACACAATCCCAGCCACTTTTTTAGTGTTCTGAGTGTCAGTCACCAGAGTCTTAACAAGATTTTTTGAAAATACAATCTTGGCACTTTTACTTTATCATTTGGTCCTGCTAATCTAGACCATGTACTTAATTACTTAATTACAGTAGAGTAGAATACTGTTTCTTTTCTTTTTGCAGTGCAGGAAGTCTCTTTGTTGGGGATCTAGGTAGAAGAACTTTTTACATGAAATCATTGATAGAGGAGCATTAATTGATTAAGTCTGTTTAACTTTTTAAGAAACCACCAAACTCTTAGGACCATAGTCTCAGGAACATCTTAGTCACTTGGTATAACATAGCTCATAAAGACTATGTTCCACATGCTCCTTTGGTGAGTAGAGAGTGAGATCTTAAAATCTTGTGAGCTGCCATCTAAGATACAACGATTGACCTCTTCCTGTCTGGAGCAAAGAAGAGTGAAGAACATCAAAGACACCAGGAAGCAATTAGTCCAGAGGAATAATGAACCACATGAACCATAGCCTACACTAGCTTGAGACCAGAAGAACTACATGGTGCCTGGCTGCCACAACCTACCATCTGCTCTGACTGGGATCACAATAGAAGGTTGTGGACAGAGTGGGAAAGAAAAATGTAGAACAGAATTCAGAATCATAAAAAAGATTGTACTTACTGGTCTGATAGAGACTGGTGGAACTCCTAAGACTATGGACCATAGACACTCTTCAAACCTGGAACTGTAAACGTCCCCAGGGATCAGCTTTCAGCCAAATAGACCTATAAAGTAAACAGTAACATCTATGAGGAACGTGCTCCTCCGAACAACCAGACCAAAAATAAAGTTCAGAAGGCAGGAAGGGGCAAAAGAGATGGGCAAATGGAAACAGAGCCAAGGGAGGAAATGGGAAGACTGCTGTTATGTTGAGGGGATTGCAACTAATGTCACAAAACAAAACGTGTATAAATTGTTAAATTGTTGAATGTGAAGCTAGTTTGCTCTATAAACTTTCACCCAAACCACATTTGGAAGAAAAAAAAAAGGCAGTCACAAAAAAAAAACATACTCTTATTAAGATTAAATGAGATAATTTGTTCAATGGGTTTAGACCAGATTCTTACAGAGCAAGTATTCAGTGAATAATGGCTATTATTATTCTAGCATTATTTCCAACTCTTTAAGCAACGTACTGTTCATGATTCAGTGAGTCTAACTTTTTACCTAAAAGGTCTTTCCCCCTTTTTCCCATGAATAAATTTTTATTTCTCTTATAACCAAAAACCAAACTCATTGCTGCTGAATTGGATACGACTCATGCAGACCCCTCCTTGGGTTTCCAAGGTGGTATCACTAGGGAAGAAGATTGCCCAACCTTCCTTCCGAGGAGTGGCTGGTAGGTTTGAACCGCCAGCCTTCTGGTTAGCAGTCAAGTGCCTTAGGCACTACGTTCACTACCAGAGCTGCTGAGATCCCACTGTTGTTATGTGCCATGGAGTCGGACCTGACTTATAGCGACCCCTCCTTGGGTTTCCGAGGCAGTATCACTACGGATTAGGACTGCTTAAATATCACCTCCTTTAGGAATCCTCAATGATTTTCTTACTCCTCCTTGGCCAAGACATAGTACATGCTCTTAAAAAATTTTAACAGTGCCAAAGAATGTAAGATTGTAAGTGAAATGCTCCCTGTATAAACCCATCCTCACAGATAAAAACAACAATTTGATCCAATGCAATGATTTAAATAAAGGTATTTTGTAAACTTAGAAGGTTAAATTAAATAATCTCTAGATTGGCTTTAAGTTCTTAGATTCTCATGCAAGAAGGGAGAGGTTCAGGAATTGGGAGAAAAAAGAAATTCTGTTAAATTTGCCTATGATAACTTGTTTATCTTGAAGCATTTTTATGCCTCTTGTAAAGGTTGCTTAGATTGTAGTTTCCCTTGAGCTCAAGACCAGCGCTACTGCATGTGCTGCCCAAGTTATTCTGTACAGCAGCACTACTCTAGTCCTGTCATCCTTGCTGGCTCAGACCTGTGACAGTGGCACACACTATCACCACCTGGTGGTAGCTTAAGTGTCTATATTCAGAACCAGAGTTTTGAAAAAAAAAATCCTTTAAAAACTGCATCTGCATAATCAGGAGTTACTTTCTGTCCCATTTACTCATAAAGGGTATTTTATTTATATTTGGCACATAAACTTTAAATTATATGTATTTGGCATAGAGATTTAAAATTATAATTTAAATGACAAAAGGAAAAATTTAAGTAATGATAGATGTTAATGAAAGATCAGATATCTAATTATTTTGTATAATTTGCATAAATTGTTTCTCTATTGCTGTAGTGATATAATGTTCCCTTTATCCAGTTTTAAAATATCAGAAATGAAGCTTAAGTATTAATTGTTGTTAAAAAAAATAATGCTTTGGCTGTAAATAATGACCATGGTTAAGTAATAAAGTAAATACTCAGTGAATTACTAATCTTATAAAAGTCCAGTTTTGTGTTATATGTAATTAGGTAACTATAGGAATCTTTATGATATTTCCTTCAGGTGAAATACCCAAACAGGTGAAAGTGAAAAAATTGAAGAACCTGAAGACTCTGGATTCTAAACCTGGTACTGGCTTTTATTAATTTTTAAATATATACTTATGTAGGTATTTGAGTTTTTCTGTTTACCTTATTTCCTTCTTTTCACTTCCTAGGAGTTTATACTTCTTATAAGCCATATCTAAACAGAGATGAAGAGATTGTAAAACAGTTACAGAAGGTAATTATTTGTTCATATTATTAATTAAAATTTCCTTGTTCAAGTATACCATATCCAATTAAATAATATGTTTATGGATAATAATGAGAAGTCTTATCTCTCTTTTTAATTAAAGTTTGATACAGATCAGGAGATTAAAGTAGCAGCAATTATGGGCTAGAAATATTGGGGCTTCTGCTACAAACAAGTGTCAGTCTTCCCAGAAACTTGGGGGTTACAGTAAAAAAGTCATAAGACTATCATGAGGAGGGGATAAGGGTAAGCGATGTTTAGAAAATTGTAACTAGTAGTAATACAACACATGTGAGATAAAGATAGTCTTCATTGTAGACTGATATGCTTGAGTATGGATGCAAGAAGTTGACTAAGTTAGAGACTTATGTTTTGCTCTAAGGATTCTTTTCATGGAATACTGCACAATTAACTTTTTATTAAGTTACTACAAGATGAAGTGTTACTTTTTGTGTAAGTGTATATTTACATATCAGTTGAACTTCTATAATTATCCATTGCTTTATATTCCCTGATACTAGAATATAGGTTATCATTGTTTCCTCTTTTAAGGGTGTGCAACAGAAACGTCCTTCTGAGGCTCAAAGTGTTATTCTCCGACGCTATTTTTTGGAACTGACACAAAGCTTCATCATTCCGTTAGTAAGTTAACAGATAGAGCTTTGCTTAATTTAATGATTTGTTGAAGGGTATATGGATATTTTTCCCATCCACCAAAACTTTTCCTTAAGTTCTGTGTTTTGCCTGCTCGTGTATTTAGTGATTAAAAATAGAGCCTTTTAAAGGAGAGCTAGATTCTTTGTTCTAGTATTAACTGTGAAACTTTGGTTAAGGCATTTCTCCTTCTAATCTACAGTTCTCTTATTTGTAAAATGTAGCTCATTCCACTTTCCCTATCTAATTATTACAGCCTAGGAAAGAGGCTCTGGTGGTGTAGTGGTTAAGGTATTTGGCTGCTAAGAAAGGTCAGTGGTTCAAACCCACCAGCCACTCCATGGTAGAAAAATGTGACAGTCTTTTTCTATAAAGATTTACAGCTTTGGAAACCCAATGGGGGTTGCATGAATCAGAACTGACTCGATGGCTGTGAGTGAGTTTAGGAAACTGTATGGGCAATTCTGCTCTATCGTAGAGACGTAGAGAGTCACTATGAGTTAGAATCAACTTGACTTCACACAACAACAAAAACAACATGTTCTGATTACCTAGTGCTGCTCTGACAGGAATATGCCACAAATGGGATGGCTTTAACAAACAGGAGTTTATTCTCTTACAGTTTCGAGGCTTTAAGTCCAAGTTCAAAGTGCTGGGCTTTAGGGGCTGGGTGAAAGCCCCTCAGCCTTGGGCTTCAGCTCTGCCTCCAGCTCCCAGCCCACTGAAGCTAGAGGCTTTTCTTCACTCAGACAGCTGCTGTCTGCTGAGGCTGCCAAGCCAAAGGTTGACAAGTAAAATGACACAGTCCCGATGTTACCAAACCACATGGCAGGCCATTAATTCAAGTTCATTGTAAGTCGCAAGGTCAACAGAGCATGGCAGGCTGCTGAACAACGACACGGCTATATGCAGGGTCTAAGTACCATAAACTAGAGGCTATCCCCAAGACTCTCCTTATATATGGGAAGCAGACCACATACCCAAAGGCAGTTACTCAGCTGCTCACGATAGATTCCACCATAGAGTTGATTACCAGTCTCATCATGGCTACATCCTGCTGCCCAGCCACTCAACCAGGCCTAGCCAAGTTGACACACAAACTGAACTACCACACAACAATTATTTATGAGCAGTATATGGGGACAACTTGGAGATCTTTGCTGTTATATCGGGGAAAAAAACTTTCTTGGATCTCGAATTTGTTTCATTTAAATCTGTTTGTTTAAGTAAATAAATTTAAAGGTGGTGCTGAAGGGCATGGGCTGAAGTCAAGTAGACTTGAGTTCAAGTTCAAGCTGTGTAACCTTGGGCAAGTAACTTAGCCTTTGGAGGCCTCAGTTTCCCAAAATCCCTGCCATACAGGATGGTTGCAAGGATTAAAAGAGATCATGCATGTAAAATGTTGAGCACGTTCACTGTCATATAGTTCCTCAGTAAGGTTATTTGCTGTCATTACAAATACATAATTCCTTGGTTATCTAAGCTTTAGTTAAATTTTTAAAAATTTTATTATGGTGAAATATATATATATATAAAACAAAATGTTTTCCATTTTACCACTTTTAGTATACAGTTCAGTGACATTAATTACATTGTCCATGTTGTGTTACCATCTCCACTGCCTATTTCCACAAGTTTACATCGCCTCAAACGGAGACTCAGTACCCTTTTAGCAGTAACTCCCCTTTTCCTCTCCTACCCACTTCTTACAACCATTGCTTTATATGCATTTACCTAGTCTAGATTTTCTTGTGTAAGTGGGAACATAACAATATTTGTTCTTTTGTATCTGGCTTATTTCACTCAGCATAATGTGTTTAAGATTCACGCATGTTGCAACATGTATCAGAATTTCATTTTTCTTTATGGCTGAATAATGTTCCAAGATTTATTTAAATTTTTGCTGAAAATCTAACTCCCCAGTTATGTCTAAATTTAGCTCTATCCTGGGGAGTGATTGAGTTGTTGATGTCCACTAAAAGGGCATGTGGTGCCTGAAGAAATGTTCACCATCCTTAGCCATTAGAGAGATACAAATCAAAACAACAGTAAGATACCATCTTGTCTCAGCACTAGTAACAAAGTTCAACAAGACACAAAATAACAAATGCTGGCAAGGATGTAAAGAGATCAAGACTCTCATACACTGCTGATGGGACTGTAAAATTATATAATCACTGTGGAAAGCAGTATGGCAATTCCTTAAAAAATTAGAATTAGAAATACCATTTGACCCAGCCATTCTATTACTAGGTATGTATCCTAAAGAAGTGAGAGCCATGACAAGAACAGACAAAAGCACACCCATATTCATTGCAGCACTGTTTACAATAGTAAAAAGATGACAGAAGAATGGATAACCAAACTATGTTACATACACACAATGGAATACAATGCAACCCTAAAGAATAA